TTAAGTGCTATGCCGTGTTAGGGCTTCAGTGTCTGTAAGTTGCTGTAACTAAATGATTTTCTTTTCCTATGCTTTTATCCAAAGACCCACTATACAAAGCAGATGAAAAACAATGGATAAGATTTTGCAGGATGGAACAATGATAGTGGCTTTAATCCACTTTTCCATTTTGTCATTCCTATCCTGGGGGCTGTACGACCCCATACCTTGTCTGTGCTACCAAGTTTTGTCACCAAAAACTGCCATTTGGTGAAAAAAACAACGAGAGCGTACACACTTCAATGTGACTTTTGTTGGGGAAAACTCCCAGGTTCAGTGACAAAAAACTTCTACCCCACAAGAGATGTTTATCTTTTTCCTCCCTCTATTATCAGTGAAGAGGCAGTTTAGACACTGCTGTTCATTTTGTCGACAGGACTGGCTTCTGCCAGTAACCCACAATGCCGATTCTGATCCTTCTGCTCAGTGCCTTAATTTCTGCTGCCCTGCAAGCATGTGCCCCATCCCTTTCAGAGCACCAGAAAGAATCTGACACCCGAGTGAGCTGCCACATTTAGGGAACAAAGAGTAAATCTTCTGTTCTGAAATGCGTCTGTTCTGTCCTGCACAAGGAATAGAAACAGGGTGCGGGTGGGTGAGACTGTTGAGCAGCCTTAATATTCCTCAGTATGGAGAGCTGAGGAAGCTGTGGGAGACCTTGGAGGGAACTCCATGCACAGCAATCAGACCTACCTTCCCACAACACTGCACTGTGGGTTACATATTGACAGTGCATTGCTCACACTGTCAACGGTGGTGCCCCCAATGCAGACATGATCTCTTGAGAGAGGGAGAAAGTGTGAATGTCCTTTGGAGATTTTTGCTTTGTTGAATTTTGGATGTTGATATAATCGTTGTTGACAAAACTTGGTAGGGTAAACAAGGCCTCTGATTGACCTAGGAGCTTGCAAAGCTTTTCCAGCCTCCCCAGCCTGCCCTGTGTGTTAGAATCTCCACAGTACTGCCTGATGTACTCTGACACATTCCTCCTGTTCTCAGTTTTGCTCCTTAGCATGCCTCTATAATCAGTTCTTAGGCCAGGGGAGGTCTGCAGAAGGTAGCCTTATGAAGGCAGCCAGTACCTATGCTGGTGGAACTTTCTACCAGTTTTAACCAGGGACCTTTATGCTATTCAAAGCCTTTTTACCCAATATACAGAGGTCAAGGCAGTGATGAAGACCTCACCCAATAACGACTAAACAGTGGACAGGATTGTTACTGGGCTTATATTGTAACCTCAGTTTCTAAACAGAATTCGAACAGGGATTCAATGTAAAAACTGAGGGCATGATCTGGGCAATTTTTAAGGATATATTTAATATTAATATGCATATTTTTTTCTTTTTCAGAACAATGGCTCCCTGATTTGGTGCCAGAATCACAAACAGTGTTCAAAGGTATGTGTTTCTTTCACTCTGAAGCCTTCACTCTGACTTCTGGAAATGAAACTTGTCTTTGACTTTAAGAAACTTTGCTTCTGAAGGAGCTGATAGAGGTTTCATCTGAAAAACACCCTCTATAATAAAACATAGTCCTGTCATCTGTATAGACAGATAAAACATCCAGAGAGCAATGTCCTTTCTGTTGGAAATAGGAATAGGCCTGTGGCTATCAGAGGAAGTATGTCAATATATGCCAACTGAATATCTGACCCATATTTCCTGTTTGACACTATGTTGTAGAGAAGTGAATGAAGTAACCAAACTAGTTAAAGTGCACATAATTCTGAGGTACTCTAACATTAGACAGTTTATTCAGCTGGATGTTTAATATATAACATGGACTGAATTTCTTGGACAATTTTTTTTCCACAAATCACACTGGCTCTACTGTTGCCCTTTCTTAAGCTGACTCTTTGACCCCAAAATCTTAGGGAGTAAGTGAGCTGATAATAACCAACTGATTTTGCTATACAAGAGTTTTGCTAGGTTGCCTGTGGGAGAAGCAACAATGCTTCACCAATATTAGAGGGTTAAAGTGGAACTACAAGGTCCAGTTACTGACTGCTCTTTTCATAAGCACACGATGTTAGATGTCTCCATTTCCTGTATTAGTAATACACCTGATAACTGTGGGTAAAAGACTATAGACCCTAAATTCTCATAATGATATAAGCCTACAATAATTTAGGCATTGTATCATGTAGTAATCTATATTCACTGTTTATTCCCCAATAGATTTATTATAAATGGGATCAAAATCCAGTAGCATAATGGAATAGATAATTTACATTATTTAATTGGCATAGCTGAGTTTATTCTGTTTTATGAAATCCAGAATTCCCATACACAAAAAAAGCTTGTGGTTTACTGTTTTAAAGTAATTGGCTTAAATGCTGATGCTAATATTAGCGCTAGCAAATGGTTACCCTTCATAAATATTGTATCAATGTTTCCATTGTAAGGTGCAAATCCAGCTTCATTTGAAGACAAATGACATTTCTCTGATTGATGACTTTGGAGCATCAGTTCTTTATTGAGTATTCTATTACATAGAAATCAAAATACAACATAGAAAGATTATCAGTTTTATCAATGATAAAAATGCTATCTTTGTAAGTTATATTGGCTGCACATGAACAATGGCATGCTGGTATCAGAAGAATGAGTGAAAACTATTCCTACTATCTCTGCTCAATTTCATACTCAGCCATCCTGAAATCTCAAGGAAACAGGTTCTTCTTGTTATACTGTTACCGAAAAAAACCTCATTGCCCATAAAAGAGGTTCATTCAGACATGTGATACATCATAATTAAATCACCTCCTTAAGAATATGCAGGGACTTTCACATCCTTTCAATGAACTCGGTGTCGCTTTCCCTTTTTTTTACTGAGGCTGATACTGTACCTCTGTGAATCTCTGAAAGAAACTCAATGAATGGCTTTTGTCAGTATGAAAAAAGAAGGAAACAAACAAAAATGTGGCCCAACTTCTAAAGCAGGGCAGAGGTTAAATGAACATCCATTTGAGTCACTGTCAAGTACATAGAAGCTATGCATATATATCTTATCTAGCATCAATTTTAGGGCAACCTTTATATTGAATTACTGTTTTGAGAGGAAAGAAAGACTGAATGTTCCAAATTAAGATTACTCCCCTCCTCAAAAGAGCTGAAAACATGGACATTATTGAGATTTTGTATAGCTGAATGTCTAGAGTGCACATGATAGCTTGTCTTATTGTTCCATAACTGGGTAGGATAGTAACATAAATATTTTGCATAGCAATAATTCATAACAATAATTTTGCCATTTATAAGGAAAATAAGTAGATATGTATCAAAATGTATTCTTAGTGGTTTTGATTCAATGGAAAATGTGATTTTCCAGAAGGTTTTTACAGCAGGATTTATCCCTATCATATTTTTAAATGTATTATTAAATAAAGTGGGTTGCATAAGAGCTGAGATTGCAAAGCAGTACAGAGGATTTTGCCCGGCAACTTTTATCTATAACTCCTCCTCTGCTCTGGTCATCTCAACCACAGATATGAAAGTCCCTGCATATTCTTAAGGAGTAATCTTAATCTCAGAACAAAATTTTTAAAGGGCACTACCCAACTTTTACAAAATGTCTAAAGATTTTTTTCCTCCAGTCCTTATGGACTCAGTTTTGTTGAGCAAATAATTATAGATCCAAGTGATGGCAATAGATGTTACCTTTAACCTTGTTAACAAATGCACTCAGTTAATCATTGAGGTGATGTCATTTGCCACTACAATTATTTACATCTAATATATGACAGAAATTTGTCAAGAAATCAAGTCAGTAGAGACAGTGTGGTTAATTCATTGATCTATTTTTACATTCCATTATTTAAATTAGTAATTTTTTCCTCAAATCTGTTGACAGTTTTAGTGGAAAAGGAAATTTGGTAGTAAAAATAACAGATTTGAAAGGCCTTGGCATGATCACACATGTCCCTTGTGTTTTATATGTGTGCACTCTTTACTACCTAGATGGTTTACACTTAATATTTCACTTACATTTCCTAACTACTTAAAATCCATTATATAGAGAGAAAAATAGGAGAGAGATGAGGCCAGTTAGGTCCACCACTTTGTCTCCCACCCAGGATTGTTCCTTTATTTTTTTTCTAGAGCTTTTGCCATCATTGTCTCCTATGGCAAAACCTACATGTGGGAACTTTGGGGAAGAAAATCCCATCCCCATCACTCTATCAAGGGGGGAACTTAAGTTTTCTCGTAATCAAAAAAGCCATAGATCTCTGTTTTGGCTTTTGGTTGTCCTAGGATTTGCCCCATACATCTCTTCTGAATTCTTTTAAGTAATAGCATGTCACAGATGAAGACTGATTTCTAAGCCTTCCTAAAGGTTTTAGTACATATATATTATCTACATAAAAATTCAGCTTATTGCCATCGGGAGGAATTATTGTATATACTTTTAATATGTCTGTTTTTCTTTTTATGGAATCTCTTTTTAAGTCCAACACATACACAGTAATTAATAAAGGCCTGAACTTTCTCCCACTGAAGTCAGTGGGAGTTTTTTCATTAATTTTCATGGGAGAAGGACTAGAATCAGTTTTTTGTTGGTTTGTTTTAATTTCCTGTTACCATTTCTATTTAATTTTCCACATTTTTTTGTTTGAGTTAGCAAATATTTCCTATATAATATTGTTTGGTGATTTTGCATTTCTCTTTCCTCTCTCTCTTAATCTTGTCATTTTCTCTTTATGGCAAGAGAGTTGTTAAATGGTAAAGCAATCACATACATACAAGAACTTCAGAGCTGATAAATCACAGGGGCAGTGTTCCCTATTAGCTGATTAGATACAAATGCTGCCCAGCTGGTAAAGTGCCCACAGTGCCAACAGTCAACAGCATATGTTCCTAAAGGTGGTACACTCCTGCACATTCCTTAGTACACTTGACAAAATTTATTCTGCATGTGGATGGAAAATAATTAGACGAAACCTTGCACAGGGTTGGTCAAAATACAGCTCACAGGCTAGGTTCAGTCCAGCAAATATTTCCCTCCAGATTTTCATGGCCCTCTGGCCTGCTAAAAGTGCTGCAGCTCAATAGGATGCTCAAGCAGGTTGCCTGCCTGCCACTGCCCTGGCCATGCTGCTCCCAGAAGTGGCCAGCTACTGCTAAGAAACATGACTCTGCACCCCCCAGGATGGGGGGACAGACGGCAGAAGGAGAGGTGGAGTGGTGCTTTACGTAAAAAATGGCACTACCTGTTTCCAAGTCACTGAAAACTTGGAAGAAAATTATCTTGAATGCTTACTGATCAGTGTCCTAGCAGACAAAGCACAAGATGCTATATTAATCGGTGCTACAGTACAGAACAAGATGACTGGTTCTTTATGCACCTACCTATAATGAATAAGGGGGAAAAAGCTGCATAATCACAGGGGATTTCAATTTGAGTGGCATATGTTGGAGGGCCAATATGTGGCCAGTATTGGAATTTCTTAATATTATAGATGATAGATACCTAATTCAAAAAACATTGAAACATGCAACATGCAGGAATTCTATATTGGACATCTCATTGTGACAAAGAATTGATCACAAAATTAAAAATGAATGATCACAATTAAGATGTGGAAACAGAATGAAGACCAAACCAAGTAAATATCTCACACACACACACACACACACACACACACACACACACACACACTTAGTGCTTCAATGTAGCAGAAAAATATATACCATTGCCCAATGCCTAGATGATAAAGCTAGACAAATTCAGTCTAGAAAGAGAGGAAAATGGGATGTGCCCAGAATGGATTGTTTCTCATAAAACCATACCAAAAAAGAGACAGAATCACCAGGCAAGTGAAAGGGGCTGGTTGGGGGTGCCCCCCTCATCCGAGACTGTCCCGGCCTAAAGCCTTCCACCTCCACCCAGGGGCCCTTTAGGGAAGGTGGGAAGAGCTGATGCTTCCCCTCACCATTTTTACTGGGACATTGCTAACTGTTCCCTTTTGTTAGGGAGCAAGAGGAGAGTGCCCAGTTTGCTGCATTCCTCACTCTGGCAGGGAAGCTCAGGGGACAGACGAACCTGGATCTGCCCTAGTTGGGAGATGTGCATCTCTCCCTGGCTGGAGCTACAGGAACCATGGAGAGGTGCTTCTCACCTGTCCCAAAGCTGCTGCGGTGAGAGAAGGTTACGGTACTCCTCTCTCCCCAGGATAGCCTCCAAACGGAACCCCTCATCTTCAGCCCTACCCCAGAGCAATAACTTAAATGAAGCATGTATATTTATATTTTATTTTCCAAAAAAACAAAAATGAATTGAGTTGAGGACATGAGCAACAGCAGTTAAATCTTCTAGTATACCATCAAAAGTCATACAAAAATATACAGGTTCAAATTTATTCAGTAATGAACAAGACTTCCAATATTCAAACTGGACT